AAAGTCACCCAAAATTCTTTAAAAAATCCACGTTTGAAAGTCGACCAAAATTCTTTAAAAAAATCCATGTTTGAAAGTCGACCAAAATTCTTTATAAAATCCACGTTTGAAAGTCACCCAAAATTCTTTAAAAAATTCACGTTTGAAAGTCGACCAAAATTCTTTAAAAAAATCCATGTTTGAAAGTCGACCAAAATTCTTTAAAAAATCCACGTTTGAAAGTCGACCAAAATTCTTTAAAAAAAAACACATTTGAAAGTCGCTCAAAATTCTTTAAAAAATTCACGTTTGAAAGTCGACCAAATTTTTTTTTAAAAATCCCGATTTAAAAGTCGACCAAAAAAATCCAAGTTTGAAGTCGACCAAAATTCTTTAAAAAAATCCAAGTTTGAAAGTCGACCAAAATTCTCTAAAAAATCCACGATTGAAAGTCGACCAAAATTCTTTAAAAATATCCACGTTTGAAAGTTGACCAAAATTCTTTAAAAAGTCCACATTCAAAAGTCACCCAAAATTCTTTAAAAATCCACGTTTGAAAGTCACCCAAAATTCTTTAAAAATCCACGTTTGAAAGTCACCCAAAATTCTTTAAAAAATCCACGTTTGAAAGTCACCTAAAATTCTTTAAAAAATCCACGTTTGAAAGTCACCCAAAATTCTTTAAAAAATCCACGTTTGAAAGTCACCCAAAATTCTTTAAAAAATCCACGTTTGAAAGTCACCCAAAATTCTTTAAAAAATCCACGTTTGAAAGTCACCCAAAATTCTTTAAAAAATCCACGTTTGAAAGTCACCCAAAATTCTTTAAAAAATCCACGTTGGAGAAAGTCGACCAAAATTCTTTAAAAAAATCCTCGTTTGGAAGTCGACCAAAATTCTTTAAAAAAATCCTCGTTTGGAAGTCGACCAAAATTCTTTAAAAAAATCTAACCAAAAAATAATCGACCAAAATTCTTTAAAAAATCCACGTTTGAAAGTCACCCAAAATTCTTTAAAAAATCCACGTTTGAAAGTCATCCAAAATTCTTTAAAAAATCCACGTTTGAAAGTCGACCAAAATTCTTTAAAAAAATCCACGTTGGAAAAAATCGACCAAAATTCGTTAAAAATCCACGTTGGAAAAAGTCGACCAAAATTCTTTAAAAAAATCCGACCAAAAAATAGCCGACCAAAATTCTTTAAAAAATCCACGTTGGAAAAAGTCGATCAAAAAGTTCCGACCAAAAAATAATCGACCAAAATTCTTTAAAAAAAATCCACGTTGGAAAGAATCGACCAAAATTCTTTAAAAAAATCCACGTTTAAAAATCTACCAAAATTCTTTAAAAAATTCGACCAAAAAATAACCGACCAAAATTCTTTAAAAAATCACGTTTAAAAACCTACCAAAATTCTTAAAAAAATCCGCGTTTGAAAGTCGCCCAATTTTTTATTTCAAATAGGTAGCCAAGAGTCTCCCCTTTCATTGCAACTGAACCATAAAACAATCTGTGCCAATAAACGCTACATTGACGTCACTCATATTCCAGAGAGAATTTTGCAATCAAATACCCCATATCAATGTCCAGAGTCTGCTGCACATGAAAAGAAAGCCAGTACATAGCTTGCAAATAGCTCCGATGCTAGCTTTGATCAGCATATTAGCAGCGCTTGAGATTCCCATGAGACTTCGATGTAATTCGAGCTCATTGCTGGGCAGGCATTCTTTGTTGTCGCGTGACTGAATTCGAATTGTCAACAATTCGGCCAAAACGTTGACTTGGCGAAAGTCAACAACGTTCCGAAACGCCAGCAACAATGTTAGGCGCAGAGAAGGGGATAATATTGTTTTGATTGCTCCGAGAGCAGATATGAGGCATTCCAGAAGGGAAAGGTTAAAAAAATTGGAATTTAAAAAAAAAATTTTGGGGGGACTTTCAAACGTGGATTTTTTAAAGAATTTTGGGAGACTTTCAAAAGTGGATTTTTTCCAGAATTTTGGTCGACTTTCAAATGTGGATTTTTTAAAGAATTTTGGTCGACTTTCAAACGTGGATTTTTTAAAGAATTTTGGGCGAATTTGAAACGTGGATTTTTAAACCAATGTTGGTCGATTTTCAACCTTGGATTTTTTTAAAGAATTTTGGTCCACTTTAAAACCTAATTTTTTTTAAAAAAAATTGGTCGACTTTGAAACGTGGATTTTTTAAAGAATTTTTGGTCGACTTTTAAACTTAGATTTTTTAAAAGAATTTTGGTCGTCTTTCCATCTTGGATTTTTTAAAGAATTTTGATCGACTTTCAAACGTGGATTTGTTAAAAAAATTGTGGTCGACTTTCAAACTTGGATTTTTTAAAGAATTTTGGTCGACTTTCAAACGTGGATTTTTTATAGAATTTTGGTCAACTCTTTCAAATGTGGATTTTTTAAAGAATTTTGGTCGACTTTCAAACCTGGATTTTTTTTAAGAATTTTGGTCGACTTTCAAACATGGATTTTTTGTAAAGAATTTTGGTCGCCTTTCAAAAGTGGATTTTTTAAAGAATTTTGGGCGACTTTCTAATTTTGATTTTTTAAAGAATTTTGGTCGTCCTTCAAACGTGATTTTTTTTAAAGAATTTTGGTCGACTTTCAAACGTGGATTTTTTAAAGAATTTTGGTGGGCTTTTTTTGGTCGGATTTTTTAAAGAATTTTGGTTGACTTTGAAACGTGGATTTTTTTTAAAAATTTTGGTCGACTTTCAAACGTGGATTTTTTTAAAGAATTTTGGTCGACTTTCAAACGTGGATTTTTTTAAAGAATTTTGGTCGACTTTCAAACTTGGACTTTTTTAAAAGAATTTTGGTCGTCCTTCAAACGTGATTTTTTTTAAAGAATTTTGGTCGTCCTTCAAACGTGATTTTTTTTAAAAGAATTTTGGTCGACTTTCAAACGTGGATTTTTTAAAGAATTTTGGGCGACTTTCAAACGTTGATTTTTTAAAGAATTTTGGTCGACTTTCCATCTTGGATTTTTTAAAGAATTTTGATCGACTTTCAAACGTGGATTTGTTAAAAAAATTGTGGTCGACTTTCAAACTTGGATTTTTTAAAGAATTTTGGTCGACTTTCAAACGTGGATTTTTTAAAGAATTTTGGTCGACTTTCCATCTTGGATTTTTTAAAGAATTTTGGTCAACCCTTTCAAACGTGGATTTTTTAAAGAATTTTGGTCGACTTTCAAACCTGGTTTTTTTTAAGAATTTTGGTCGACTTTCAATCATGGATTTTTTGTAAAGAATTTTGGTCGCCTTTCAAAAGTGGATTTTTTAAAGAATTTTGGTCGATTTTCAAACGTGGATTTTTTAAAGAATTTTGGTCGATTTTCAAACGTGGATTTTTTAAAGAATTTTGGTCGACTTTCAAATTTGGATTTTTTAAAAAAAATTTGGTCGACTTTGAAACCTGGATGTTTTAAAAAATGTTGGTCGACTTTCAAACGGAGATTTTTTAAAGAATTTTTTTCGACTTTCAAACGTGGATTTTTTAAAGATTTTTTAAGAATTTTGGTCGACTTTCAAACCTGGTTTTTTTTTTTAAAATTTTGGTCGACTTTCAAACGTGGATTTTTTTTAAGAATTTTGGCCGACTTCCAAACGTTCATTTTTTTAGAATTTTGGTCGACTTTCAAAAGTGGATTTTTTAAAGAATTTTCGGTCGCCTTTCAAACTTGGATTTTTTAGAGAATTGTGGTTGACTTTTAAACGTGGATTTTTTTTAAAAAATTTTGGTCGACTTTTAAACTTGGATTTTTTTTAAAGAATTTTGGTCGACTTTCAAACGTGGATTTTTTAAAAGAGTTTTGGTCGACTTTCAAACGTGGATTTTTTAAAAGAATTTTGGTCGACTTTCAAACGTGGATTTTTTAAAAGAGTTTTGGTCGACTTTCAAACGTGGATTTTTTAAAAGAATTTTGGTCGACTTTAAAACATGAGTTTTGGGCGTCTTTCAAACGTAGATTTTTGAAAGAATTTTGGTCGACTTTAAAACATGAGTTTTGGGCGTCTTTCAAACGTAGATTTTTGAAAGAATTTTGGTCGCCTTTCAAACGTGGATTTTTTAAAAGAATTTTGGTCGATTTTCAAACTTGGATTTTTTAAAAGAATTTTGGTCGACTTTCAAACGTGGATTTTTTTAAAGAATTTTGGTCGACTTTCAAACTTGGATTTTTTTAAAGAATTTTGGTCGACTTTAAAACATGAGTTTTGGGCGTCTTTCAAACGTAGATTTTTGAAAGAATTTTGGTCGCCTTTCAAACGTGGATTTTTTAAAAGAATTTTGGTCGATTTTCAAACTTGGATTTTTTAAAAGAATTTTGGTCGACTTTCAAACGTGGATTTTTTTAAAGAATTTTGGTCGACTTTCAAACTTGGATTTTTTTAAAGAATTTTGGTCGACTTTAAAACATGAGTTTTGGGCGTCTTTCAGACGTAGATTTTTGAAAGAATTTTGGTCGCCTTTCAAACGTGGATTTTTTAAAAGAATTTTGGTCGATTTTCAAACTTGGATTTTTTAAAGAACTTTGGTCGACTTTCAATCGTGGATTTTTCAAAGGGTTTTGGATCGACTTTCAAAAGTGGATTTTTACGGAATTTTGGTCAACTTTCAGAAGTGGATTTTTTAAAAGTATTTTGGTCGATTTTCAAACGTGGATTTTTTTTAAAGAATTTTGGTCGACTTTCAAACGTGGATTTTTTAAAAGAATTTTGGTCGACTATCAAATGTGGATTTTTTTTAAAGAATTTTGGTCGACTTTCAAACGTGGATTTTTTGAAGAATTTTTGGGCCGCCTATCAAGCCTGGATTGCCTCATACCTCACCTGTCCGCTAAAATGCCTAACATTTGGTCAATTATTTGGCGTAACTCACGCAAGCGCTGCCGCCTCGCTATCTCTCTCTCCTTTGGAGAGAGAGAGCTGAGCAGCAGCAGCGGCGTTGCTGCTTGGCTGAGTAGAACCCACAAAAAGCGAGCTGTTAACTTGGCCAACAGCAGAGTCAGGCGAACAGTTAAGCGCGGATTGAGCAACGGTCAAGAACATTTACGGATTCGAAAATTTTGTTGTTGTTCTACTTGTTGTTGTGTTGTTTTTACCCACCAAGTGAAAGGAAAGAAAGTTTTTTTTTTGGGTTTTGGAATAATTTTTACTCCGCCTGGCGAATTCTGCTGAAAGAGAAATTTTTCGAGAAGAAAACAAAATTGAAAAATAAGGCAATTAAAAATTCATTTTGAAATGAATTATATAATAATTTGGATGGCCTGCATGGGCCTGGCCTCAGCTGCCATTGGGAGATCATATGGGGGAGATGGTTTGCCCCTGGAAACCACGACCTCTAATTTGCATGAGAAATTATCGGGGGGCCTTGGCAAAGATGATTCCTCTTCCTCGTCATCCTCTTCGTCATCGACCTCCACCACCACCGAGTCCATGAAGGACCCCGGATTGGTTCAAGAAATTGTCTCCGAATTGCCCGTTACCCTGCCCGGAATACTTCAAGAGCTGGAGGCACCCAAACGTCGCGTCATCACCTATGACCAAAGGCAGGAGGGCCAGTATAACATTCGAGCCGATTTGGACAATTTTATGTTCCTCCTGATACCGGCAGCTGCCACTGATAACTTCAGTATTCTCGATATTTTGGGTAAATCAGGAACAGGATTAGGATCACGACGCACTGCCCACTCCTCTCTGAAATCGTCGAATAAAAAGAAATATTCCCCCAGCAATTCAGGACTTAAGCCGGATGGTGGCTCCCTAAAATATCGACAGGCCATGAAGAATGCCGATTATTTACCAAGGCCAGGAGATCATATGTCACCGGCCGGTAGGGTGGGCGAGTTCATTGAGGGACGTACACCCTATCATGTGGATATTTCCGCTCTGCATGATGGTGAGGGTGATGTCCAGTCAAGGTTGAATCCGGATAGACAAGTTGATGTTTTGCCACCCTCTTATCCTTTGGCCTATCAGCATCTGATGAAACCCTTTTTGGAGGCAGATTCTACCATTATCCAAGCCCTGCCACCGGCCGAGATGGGAAGTCGACCAAATTCAGGTAAGGGAAAAAGTAGCTCAAAATTAAAAAAAAAACGAAATTTAAAGTCGCCCAAAATTCTTTAAAAAATCCACGTTTGAAAGTCTCCCAAAATTCTTTAAAAAATCCACGTTAGAAAATCGCCCAAAATTCTTTAAAAAATCCACGTTAGAAAATCGCCCAAAATTCTTTAAAAAATCCACGTTTGAAAATCGCCCAAAATTCACGTTTGAAAGTCTCCCAAAATTCTTTAAAAATCCACGTTTGAAAGTCTCCCAAAATTCTTTAAAAAATCCACGTTTGAAAGTCTCCCAAAATTCTTTAAAAATCCACGTTTGAAAGTCTCCCAAAATTCTTTAAAAAATCCACGTTTGAAAGTCTCCCAAAATTCTTTAAAAAATCCACGTTTGAAAGTCTCCCAAAATTCTTAAAAAAATCCAGGTTTGAAAGACGCCCAAATTTCATTAAAAAATCCACGTTTGATAGTCGCCCAAAATTCTTTAAAAATCCACGTTTGAAAGTCTCCCAAAATTCTTTAAAAAATCCACGTTTGAAAGTCTCCCAAAATTCTTTAAAAAATCCACGTTTGAAAGTCTCCCAAAATTCTTTAAAAAATCCATGTCTGAAAGTTGCCTAAAATTCTTTAAAAAAATTCACGTTTGAAAGTC